ACACAGGTAGCAAAACATTTGCCTTTTCTGCTCTCTTCCCCTGTCGAAATTCAGCGACATGAATGAGGTTGCTCAACCGTCCCTCTCACCCTAATGTTTTCATCGGACAGCCAAGTTGTTTTAACTCCTGTTTCCAATTCTTTCCCAAAGTGGTTCATGTCCATTAGAAGAAGAAAAAAATTAGAAAATACACAACCTTAAAGTTTTAAAAATACAGATTCGTAATCTGGAAACTAAAGAATCATGGCAACTCCCTGCAATGGGTAATTCTAGGCTAGATCCTGGATAGGAGAGAAAACAGGACAAAGCTGAACAGATTGGATCCTACTGGATCCAAAGATGCTCTGGTGGCACAATGGGCAAGCACTAAGCTGCTAACCCACAGGCTGACAACTAGACCCCACCGAGGCACTCTGCAGGAGAAAGGCAGGCACACCGCTTCTGTCGAGGTGACAGCCCAGGGAACGGGTGCATGGGCCAGTTCTACTCTGTCACACGGTGTCTCTGTGAATCAGAACTCACTTGTCAACACATCTGTATCAATATTAAATTTCTGGAGTATGATCACTGCATTTTGGCTGTTTGGTCCTGGTGGCATAGTGGTTCCACATTGGGCTATTACTAACTGAAAGGTCATCAGTTTGAAACCTCTAGCTGCTCCCTAGGAGAAAGATGAGGCTTTCTACTGCCATAGAGAATTGCGGTCTCGGAGACCCACAGGACAGCTCTACCCCATCCTCTAGGCTCGCTGTCGGTTGGAATCGACTCGATGGCAGTGAGTTTGGTTTGGGAGCCAAACATCCTTGTTCTTAGGACATGCACCCCAAGGACGGTCCCGAGGGAAGAAATGGTCTGATGTTTGTAACTAACGCTCAAGGGGCTCAGAATTCACAAGGGGTGTGTTAGTCTGGGTACATTAGAGAAACAAATCCACAGAAACTCGTATGTATAAGAGAGAGTTTTATATGAAGGGTAAGTACACAGTCCAACATTAGCCCATATGTCCGATACCAATTCACAAAGTCCTCCTCTGTCTTACAAAACACACGCAATGACGCCGACTGCAGGAGGAAAGCTGAATCAGTGAACGTGTAAGCATCTCAGCGCTAGCAGGGGTCTCCACACGACTGCTCCAGCACCCAGGGCTGCATCGGGGTAGGTCCATGTGGCTTCTCCTCAGGCATGTCTTGGCAGGAAGTGAGCCTTGCCAGCTGAAGCAGCTGCACCCTGGTCCGACCATCACAAAGCAAGAGACCTGAGAAGTAGAAAGGCGAGGCTCACCAAGCCATTTATCTCTCCGCCCTTCAATTAACCCTACGTGTGTTTATCGACCAGGTTGGCACAAGAAACTTTAACTATCTCACGGGGGCTTTAAGAAGTTAGTGGAAAGATGGAATTAAAAGATTATAGGGTTTTTTTTCCCCACGAAGTCTTGGAAACCCCTTCATAATTATTATGTCGTATTTGTATATATGTGATATGTACATGCATGTGAACATGTACACACGCAAAGCAGATGTGGCAAATGGTAGGCACTAGTGGACTAGGTGAAGTGTGAAGGATGTTCACTGTCCTCTGCCTGCAGCCTTTCTTAGGGTGGACCTTTTTCAAACTCAAAAGTTGAGGCAACAAATTAATAGATGAGAACAAAACAAAAACAAAATAAATGACCCGTCCTTCCTCCCAGGAGCCCTGGTGGCTCGGTGCTTCAGTGCGTGGTTGCTAACCAAGGAGCGGGTGGTTGAAACCCACCTGATGCTCTACACCAGAAAGAAGTGGCAGTGCTGGGCTCCGTGGAATATTTTAATGACTTGGGATTTTCCAGTAGAAAAAGGCCTCCTGGTTAATTCATATCAGGAGGCGTTCTAATCTGAGGGTGTTTTCTACAGTAAATTATACTTTTTAATTGCCCCCCCCTCCGGCCCCAAATATATTTGAGTGTGGAATCTCTCCAAGGACCAACCATTAATAGGAGCATGCAAACTTTTAACAACCACAGAGAATCGCAGTGTTGGGTAGAGTGGTCATTTCCCTTTTCTGCTGTCATCAGTCCCATTGGGGTAATCACCCATGCAGTACAGATATGGTCACTGGCCTGTTTGGTTATTTTTGTAAAATCAGTGTGTAGAAATCAGTGATGGTGTGTCATAGTCCTCAGTCACTGGGTTTGACCAGGCTGACTAGAGAAACAAATTCATAGACACTCATGTGTAAAGAAAGAGCAATTGTGTATTGAAAAACATCCCGGCCCAGTCCAGATCAAGTCCATGTCTGATATTAGCCCATACGTCCTATACCAGTCTATAAATTCCTCTTCAGACTCATGCAGCCGTGCAATTAGGCAATGAGGCCGAATGCAGGAAGATCACAGGCCAATGGGAGGGAAGTCTTATGGATCCAGTGGTGGTAGAAGCTGGCGTGGGTCTCCACGTGGCTCCTCCAGCTCCAGGGCTCTCGCAACATTAGCATAGCTCCATCTGGCTTGTCATCAGGAATGTCTCCCAGGGAGGAAGACAGGAGTTCCCAGAATCCTCAGGAGAAGGCCATGCCCACACAGAGACATGATTGGCTGTGACCCGATTGACAGGCTCGACTCCACCTCTTCGCTCAAGTTGACAGGAGATGATATAACTGCCATAGACACCCACATGTTCAGAGATAGCCGCCTCTGGCGAGAGCTGGAAGGAGCCAGGTATAGGTGTCCCCCATCCTCCATCCTGTGGAGAGGAAAGTGGCACAAGACCTCGGTTCTCCCAAGCAGTGGGGCACACCAGGCCGTACCCAGGGAAGCCTGCTCAAGACTCCGGTACACGGTTCTGAGGAAGGATTGGGCATATAGGTGGGGGGCCACAAGGACCGAGACTCCTGCCTCCAGGAAGGGAAGGAGGGATGTGCCGCCGATCGTGCCGTGCATGCCCCATCACAGACGAGCTGGCGTCGTGTGGCTCAGTGCTGCATGTGGGCAAAGCCACCACATCTGAGCAGAAGCCAGTCAGGCCAGGCCTGTTCGCCGACCCTTCTCAAGGGAGCAGCCCTGCCCTTGTGACCCCTTCCTGCACAGGGAGATTGAGGAGCGCAGCACCAGCCACCTTCGAATTCGCGTGTGGCTTTGTTTCGCTGTCCCTTCTCGGCCCGTCCTCTGAGCTGCCCTGTGAGGTCGCCCACCTGGCTCCTTGAGAAACAAGGCAGCAGGTGTCAAGAGACAAGGCCACATTCACTCTCTCTGTTTTGATTTCAGAGCAGCCTCAACATGCATTCTGCACCCGGCTACCTGCCCCAGCCTCCACCCCCACCTCCCCCACCTCCGCCTCTGCCCCCGCCCCCACCTCCTCAGCCCCCGCCACCCCCTCCCCAGAGCCTGGGCCCCCCTGGGCGGCCCAACCCGGGTGGGAACGGCGTGGTGGAGGTCTACAGTGCCACTGCATCCCTGGCCGGGAGCGGAACGGTGGAGATCCAGGCATTGGGAATGCCTCCCTACCCGCCCCTGGAGGTGAGTAGAAGCACCATGGGGTGGGGGTGGGGGGCAGGATAGGAGTGGGTGGTTGGGGGAATGGGTGATGGTCATCGTGGGTGACCTTGACCTTTCCCTTGTGGTGCCGAACCAGATCCGTTCTTTACAATAACCCTGTGTCAGGGGTACTTTGACTTACCTCATTTTACAGAGGAGGAAACAAGAGCAGCGGAAAGACTTGTTCAGGTCGCTTAGCTGCTCAGTGACCATTAGGATGAGAACCCAGGCAGCCAGACTCTAAAGCGGCATCTGGTCTATTGGCTTCATGATGTGCGTGCGAAGGGGTCTTGGGAGTGAGGGCTTAGGGAGTGGCTGAAGTCACCCAGGGCCCACACTGAGGACCCATCCCCTCTCTGGGACAGCTCTCGCCATGCCCAGGTCTTTGCCTGACTGCCCTGTCCTTCTAGGTGCCAAACCAGTGTGTAGAGGCTCCAGTGTATGCCACCCCGCCGGGATACAGCCCGGGCAGACAGGGGTTCAAACCGAAAGGACCAGACCCTGCTGCCCCCATGACCAGCGCCACCGCGGGCACCGTGGCCGCCTTTGACTCTCCGCCGACGCTGAAGACCCGACGGGCCAAAGGTGGCAGTGGACTCCCGGAAGGTGGGCCCCCAGCCCCCCAGGGGCGTCCCTCCTCAGCTGCAAAGGAAGCTGGGAAGTGTCTCAGCCAGGGGCATTGATGCGCCTGCTAAGTGGGGATTTGTAAGGAAAGAAGGCAAGAGGGGAAGAATAGACCCTGGGAAGGCAGGCAGCAGGGTCGGCCACTCTGGAGGGGGCACACAGAGAAAGGGGCTTTCCCGTGGGTCTTCCTCCTTCTACAAGTGCTTGTGGAGTGTCTGTGTGCCCCGCGTGGTGTCTGACACTGAGGATCCAGCCCCGTGACCCAGCTCTGTCCTCGTGCGACACCCAGGCGAATGAGAGCGACAGACCCACTGCCACGGAGTCAGTTCTGACTCAGGCACCCTCTGTAGGGTATCCTGGGCTGTGGATCTTTGTGGGAGCCTCATCTTTCTGCTGTGGAGCAGCTGCTGGGTTTGAACAGCTGACCTTGTGGTTAGCAGTCAAATGCCTGCCCTACAGCACCAGCAGGACGTCTCATGAGAGACAATTTATTGCCATCAGGTCGACCGACACTGGCTCACAGCAACCCTGGAGGCCAGGGTAGAACTGGTCCGATAACTTTCTGAGACTATAATTGTTTATGGGAATAGAAAGTCCCGTCTTTCTCCCGTGAAGCTGCTGGTGGTTTTGAACTAGTGACTGGTGGGTCGCAGCTTAAGCATGTAACCACTACACCACCAGGGCTCCCTGTGAGAGAGACGAGCAGGAAAGAAATAAGTATGTATAAACTGTGGAATTGTGCGGGAAGGAGATGAACAGGGACTGCGATTGAGAAGAAGGAGTCCTGGAGGCGCAGTGGTTAAAGCGCTCTGCTGCGATCCACTCGCTCTGTACCTGAAGGATGCAGCCACCGTCGGTGTCCTGAGAGATTTAGAGCCCTGGAAACCCTATGGGGCCGTTCTACTAGGTCCTCTGCAGCCGCTGTGGGTTGGAATTGATGGCAGGGAGTGGGTGCTGGAGGGTCACCGCGGGGGGACTGTGAGCTGACGTCACCTGGAAAAGACCCCCGAGCATGAGAAAGGCAGCCTTACAGGGTTCTGAGGGATGAGTACGGGGAATAGCAGGCGCTCAGCATCCGGGGTGCAGCTATGCTTGGGGCTTCTCAAGGAGCCGCAGGGAGCCGACTGCTGCTGGAGGAGATGGAAGGTGCTGGCAGGGGCTGAGCTTGCTGAGTCCAGGAGACCACCATGGTGAGGAGCCTTTGAGGGGCTTCTCCTGCTCCCCGAGCTGGAGCAGGCCCGGGTTTTCCTCCCCGGCGCAGTGAGAGGCGCACGTACACCCGTACCCCCACCCCATGCTTCTTCCTTTGCCTGCCACCTCGGCTGTAGACCTCCTGGGGTCTGTGCTGCCCGACTCCAGGTTCAGGGGTCGTGTTCCTCAGCTCTGTCCCCCGCCTCTCTCCCCACCTCTCTTCCCTTGTTCCCTTTCAGCTGCGGGCAAGCCAAAGGCTCAGAAACTCAAGTGCTCCTACTGCGACAAGTCATTCACCAAGAACTTTGACCTGCAGCAGCATGTCCGGAGGTACTCAGGCCTGGTGGGGTGGAGGGCCCTCGGAATCCCTGTACGGGGACCCTGTGCAGTGGATGCAAGGCTCCCTTCGCCCCCTGTGGTCCACGTGGTGGCCAGGCTCTGCCCTGTCGAGGTTTTGAGGCCTGCCGTCCGGGAGCAGTGGGAAGGCTTGGTGAAAGTCCAGAGTCCTGCCCACCTTGACAGGCGGGCTGCAGCAGCGGGAGACATGCTTTGTTGGAACAGATAGCAGACGTGCCCCCCACCCTGCATCACCTCTGTAGGAGGGGTTTCCAGGCTCAGGACTTACCCTACAAACATGCAAGGAGTCCCCCGTGGGCCCCAGTTCGCCCGCCTGTGAAACAGAGGGGGCAGACTCGTTCAGTGTTTCCCACAGAGGGAGTTGCAGCGGTTCATGAGATGATGGGAGGCGCTGGAAAGTCCTGAGAGGCGGAGTGGGCTGGGGCTTGCTTTTTCAGTTTCTCTCTGTCCTGGAAGAGTCAGCGGAGAACCCCTCAGCATGAGTCTCTCCTTAGCACGTCTCACATCAGGGAGTCCTTCTGGAACAGAGAAGGGGGCAGAGAGAAAGAGAGCCTCAGATTCCAGCTGTGGCAGGCAAGAGTTTCTCTCTGGACCGTGGATTTTCAGCTGTGGCAATACTGATACTTAGATGAGCTCTTTGTTTGCTGGGCATCGGGGGCGGGGTGGGTGTGGGGTGGGAGGTTGTTCTGTGCCTTGTTTAGCACATGGTGGCCTCTGTCCACCAGCTGACAGTAGCACTCCCCTCCCCCATACCTCAGCAGTGACAGTCCAGAATGTCTCCAGACTTGTTTCCAGATGACCCCAGGGGACAGCACCAGTACGGATTAGAATCACTGGCCTGGGCTAGTGCTGCGCTGTAGAATTTTCTACACTGCTGGGGGTACCTAAGCCTATGCTGTCCAACACGGTACCCACTGACCACCGGTGGCTACTGAGCCCTTGCAGTGTGGCCGGTGCGACTGAAGAGCTGAACTTCTTACCTTATTGAACTTGGGCTGATTTTAAACTTAATCTCATGTGACTTGCGTCTTCTATGACATTAGCCAATGACGGTCTTACTGCGTTGTTTTATCATGACTGCATTGGGCTTCAGCTACTTTGTACCTGGGACAAGTGTCTTTCCAAACACAATAATAATAGGAAGCTTCCTTTTAAAGTTATTTAAGGTTTCTGATTTATTTTTTATTTTGTTAGTTATTTAAGGTTTTTATCCCCCCACGCTTTTTGGGGAAAGTGAGTAGATGAGGAGAAAAGTTAAATAATGGTACCAGGTGGTGGGTGCAGCAACGGAGATGTCTTCTCCCGCAAATATCAGCAGCCCCCTTGAGATGCTTCTGAACCATGGAGACATGGTCTCTGGGAGATGTCCATCCACAGGTCATGGCAGACTCGGCCGCCCCACAATGCCAAGGAGAGGCCCCAGTGTTCCCAGCTCTTTGGCCTGCATTGCTTGGCGAGAAGGCTTCTGCTGAGTGTGTCAGGACAGTCGCCAGCAGCACCGGGATGCTCCGGCTTGGCCTTCCTGGTGGCTCAGAGCACTGGGGCTGAGGCCACATCTCTGTCCCTACAGGAGCATGCTGACAAGCCCTCTCTTCCACAGCCACACTGGTGAGAAGCCCTTCCAGTGCATTGCCTGTGGCCGTGCCTTTGCCCAGAAGTCTAATGTTAAGAAACACATGCAGACCCACAAGGTGTGGCCCCCAGGGCGCAGTGGTGGCACCGTCTCTCGGAACTCTGTGACCGTGCAGGTCATGGCCTTGAACCCTAGCAGACAGGAGGATGAGGACAGCACAGGTGGGTGGAGGTGGGGAAGGCCTCCCTCCGTCCCTCCCTTCTTTCCTCCCTCCCTCCCTCCCGCCCTCCCTTCTTTCCTCCCTCCCTCCCTCCCGCCCTCCCTTCTTTCCTCCCTCCCTCCCTTCATCCCTTCCCCTCTCTTCCTTGCTTCCTTGCTACCTTCCTTCCTTGCTTCCTTCCTTCTTTCCCGCCACC